TATAGTTACAAGAATCTTAATAAAGTACTAGCGTGGCTGCTTAAGAGCAAAAAAAAAAAAAAAAAAAAAAATACAATTTCTATATATAAAAACAAGACAGCAATTTGCAAATACAGTAACAAAAACAACTTATAATACTTCTTATAAACAAGTTTGAAAAACATAATATAAAAAAATTAACAAATAAAAAAAAAAAAAAAGACCAAGCAAAGAAACAAATTAGCAAGAAATAAAAGAAGAAAAGAAATAAGCAAAAGAAAAAAAAAAACAAATTAAAAGAAAAACCAAAAAGACAATGTTAGAACTCTTTATAAAAAGAAAAAAACCCTTTTATAATAAATTTTAAGTAATTAAACAAACAGCCTACTTTTGTTTAAAATAATGAAACAAGTTGCATTCAGGTACCATTAGTGTAATTGGGTAATGCTAAACTTAGTTGTTATAAAAATAAAAAATGCTTTTATAAAACTTATATATATTTGAAATTAAATTTAAGAAAGTGTATGCATTTATAAAAGATGCGCTTATAAATTTTACTGTATAACTATCTAAATGAATAAAAAAAATTAAAATTTTTTTTTTAGTTTTATTATTTTTTTCAGGTTAAAACTATGAATTCACAAAATATTTGTATAGCTAATTGTTTTAACTAGTTTTATAAAAATAGTTTTTTTGAAAAACCTCTTGAAAATGGCTTTTAAAAAAGGTCTAACATTGCCATTTACTATTAAAAACAAGCCTATCATATGGATGTCGATCACCCGAATTTAATTTTGCCCTGCGTAACAAATTGTGCGACTAACATGTAACACCTAAGCTTTTATAACTCTGCATGAGGCAATCAATGACGGTCTCACCTGACAGAGATAATCAATTTCTGACTGTTCATAAATAAAACGCGTATTTATGAAATCAGTGTGTTCACACAACTTCACGCGTCTGGCGTTCTGGTGAAATAAAGATATAAATAGACCTTCAAATGTGCATCAAATTGTTCGCGATTGTTTTTGAAATCTTATAAACAAGCAATTTTAACTTCTATAGCAATGCAAAATGCCTGCACAAACATTCCATCCAAACGCTATCTTCCATTCTCTTTCTTCGCTTAATGATCTGACACTACCGCCGTTAAGGTTTCTATCATCACCTAGTACGGATGACGAACAAGGAACATTAAGTCCAATACATGTTAAACCTCTCGTGCTACAGCCTGAACTGACAACTGTACGTCAACTTTCAACTCAACTAACGACCGTACGTCGCCAACTTTCAACTCAACTCCAACAACTCTCAACCATGGAATTTCACACTTCACCTCCTAAGGAAGCATGCCTTGGCTCTTCACCTATTCAAACAACATTTGATACACTTCCATTTAACGAAGACACACAATATGATATAACTACACCATTAAGACTTTTACCGTTATCACAAGTTTCACCATTACGTTCACTCACACAAATGTCACAAGAATCAATTATTAATCAACAGACGGTTAACGAAAATAAGGAAAATTCAGTTGGTGAATACAAGAGATTTTCGTGTGAAGAATGTGGTAAAATTTATCAAGGCAAAAATGCACGTTCTATTTTACGTAGACATCTTAAAGATAAACATGAAATTGAGTTGCCTCGTGCATCACGCTGGGACAATGACCCTAACCGACCAAAAAATGATGAAGAAAGGCGACAGAGGATGTTGGAGTCGAAGAGAAAGTAAATAATTTAAATAAAATTAATTTAATTATTAAAAATAAGTTAAATCAAACTCTAATTTATTGTTAAAAAGGTCCGCACAAAAAGCACGCGAAAAGAGAAATCTTTTAAAAGAATTAGAACAAAAAGAAAATAAACGTGTTATTACTCATTTGCAAACTAACATAAACGTAGAACAAAACTACAACATGAGTCAAGGATCTACACCCACTACACCGCCATCACGAATTGACCGAACGGTAGTACTTTCACCTAATAGTCGAATGAATCCATACGTCGTCATGAGACCATTAAAGTCAGCTATATCCCCATGCAAGGGTGTTAGCGGTGGAAAGTCATGTTATCATCTTTTATGTTCATCACCCACACATTATCATTTTGATCCTACCATCAACAGATACTAAGGATGGTAAAGTTAGTTTAGTTTGGTTTAGGTTCTAAAATATTTAGATTCAAATTAAAAACCCAAGAACCAGGTTTTATATAATAAGTTCCAAACCTAGTTTGGTGGTTCTCAATATTTTGTAAGACAAAAAAATAAAAATATATTAAAAGTTAATTCATATCGAACTTTTAGAACATATATTTTGATCTTCCAAATAACTTAATTGTTAATATTGATTCAATGGTAATATAGCGGGGTGAAGATCACATAAAATCGAAGTTAACATGAGATCTATCAAATAGTCTAATGATTCTTATACCATTCAATTTATCTAACCAAGATGAATCGAAAGCTTTCCATTTATCAGTCACATGATATGTCACATGCAATATTTCAATTGAGTCAAATGATCGCGCATCTAAGTTTTATAAGTAAAATTTTACTTTCTAGACTTATTTAATAAAAAAAGATATAATTTTACAAATTCTTTAGCATTAGGAGCTTCTTCCCATAAAATTTTAGGAGTGGTTAAAATAAACCAAAAAAGAACAATGAGCTCGAAGTTTACGATTTTTACAAAAAATTAGCAAACTTCGGGCTTATGATTCTTGTTTTATTTCATACTACCCTTAAAATTTTATTCCTAATGCTAGAGAATTTGTAAAATTATATCTTTTTATTAAATAAGTCTATAAAATAAAATTTTTCTTATAAAACTTAGGTGAGTCGGTCATTTGACTCAGTTTACACATGATCTGCGTGACAAATCACGATGTAATCATGTTTGTTTAAATTAAAACTCAGCCGATGACTTATCGTATGGATAACACCATTATTCGGCAAATTTTTGACTAATGCATCTGAATAAATTCAGATCTGGATATCCAATAGATAGATAAATGGATAAACGACTCATAGATAGGAACTCTAGTGATTACTAAATAATATAACCTTTTATTCATGTAGAGCGAGTTAATTATTGTGCCTATCTGTCAAATCAATCCACCACTTTAAAATTATTTAAAACCAAAAACACGAATTTTAGTTTAATAATGAGTACGTATATGTTTAATACCTAAATTTGGTTAGTAAACTCCTGAAATAATATCCTACGTACATACTGAAGTCGAGTCTTAATTTGTACGGACAAAAACTCAACCTGTCATATGAAATCTGTAACACCACATTTATTTAATACTGTAATACAAGATTCAAAGCTTGAACCCTTGCATTACTTACGTATTAACAATCAAGTGATATTGTTGTAATTTCCTTTTTTGAATTTCGGAGCTATCCTTAGTAGTAATCCAAATCGTTAGTTGAAAAACTAACTAGTTGACAACTTTTCAACAGTGTTGAAAATCGTTGTGTATGTATTGTTATTTGCTCAAAATTAAACAATGGGCTGTGCAAATTGCACAAAAAATAGAATAACATTCATGTATAGAAAAAATTTTTTTACACAGCATATTTGCGCCGAATTTTTAACACTGCTTGCCAACTAATCAATTTGGAACAACTAATCGATTAAATCATCAACTAGTTAAATTCCGAAATAGAGTTCATATCCATTATCGGTTTATCCATTTATCTATTGGATATCCAGATCTGAGTTTATTCAGATATCCGTTTTACTATTGATATTCCGGATAAATGCGTGTGAGGAAATACATTTAATGATTTATTATGATGGTTACGGGTTTTCACTCAAATGGATAAATGGATAACGGATTGGAACTCTATTCTGAGATATTCCGTTGCTTTCTTTTTAGTTTGATTGGCCAACCAACAAATTTAGTCACATCGATTAGTTGCAACTATACTTGGCAACTAATCGATCGGAAAAATTTTTACCAACTCAGAAAACTAATCCGACCCACCTAGTATCGCCACCAAAATCATGTACGTAATACGGAGCTTAAATTTATTTTCCGATATTTTAATAATATG